GATATATTTTATGAGTACTAACACGTGGCAAGGTGACATCGACGTGTCAGTCGAGGTGCCACGTGTCCTGGTCGTGACGCCGAGGTGATCTCGGCAAGGCCGAGGTTATCTCCGAAGATATCGGAATCCCAGATAAGTGGATAAAGGACAAGAGTCCTAGAATGAAAAAGGAACTCAACCTGGATGAGGGACAAGAGTCCTAGAATGTAGAGGAGACTTAGTTAAGATGAGGATAAAGCTCTTGGGGAGTTTATCTTTATTTCTTGAAGAGTCCAAAGTAAGTATTGAGATGGAATCCATAGAAGTCAGGCTTCCTGTGGGACTAGGATTAAGTAAACTATAAAAGAGAGGCACCCCTGTGGGTCTAAGGTACGTAATTTTATGCTTTGAGTAGTGAGTTTAGCACTTGATTATCTTTGAGAGATATACTGACTTGATCGTCGGAGTGCCCCCGGGTGGAAGAGCCACTGCCGGAGCCTTTTCTTTCTGTTACAGGTTAGCTGAAGCCATCTATTTTGCCGGTGCTCTCCAACTGGTTACTAAGCAGGTAATGTGGTTAGAAAATCACTCACACAATTACCATAAAGGACAATAATAAATATAATACATATCAACAATTCCAAACGTGTTACTTACGTATCTTGTCTCTTAAGAATCCAAAAACCTTAAAACAAAAACCAAAAATCCTTATAGAAATAACCAAAAATATACATATTATTGAAGATTTTGATTGGATTCAATCAATAATGGATGCATCTGGCAATACTCATTCGGAACAATGGAGCAAGGAAAAGGTTATTTATTTATTTAGTTTTTTTTTTCGTTTTGGTTTACTTTCTGAGTGGTAAACCGTTTGTATTAGTTCGGTTTTCCAGAGTCGAATAATAAATTAATGTTCGACTACCCAACCGAACAAATTGTATATGTTCAGTTTTATAGTGTCGAACTTTCTCCAAATATTCAGTTTTTAAGTATTGAACAAACACTATTCGTTCGGTTAAAAACAATCGAACAACTGCACTCAGTTCGATTCTGTGCTGCCATTAAATGAAGTTTTGATGCTCTTGATAATCATGGATTGTTGCAATGCCCTAACTACACTTCCAAATCCACCTAATTTTTTCTTCTCAATGGTACAATCCAAACTCCATGTTAGAAAATTCACTTCTAGTGATCTCCTAGGCCACCGATGCTGATCATTAGACTTCGAATTCTCCGTCTGATTCCTCACCGACGTCACTTTTCTCCTCTCCATCTGATTCCTCACCAGAGTAAGGGTAAAGATAGAATATTGTGAATAGATTGTGGGTATCATGTGTAAGAAAGGGTAAAGATGGAAGATTGTGGTATGTATTGAGTAAAATATTTAGGGTGATTCTACGTGCACCATTACTTTATCTCTTTACACCTTTCGTATGAGTTTTTTTTTCCTTCTCAATTTTATCCATGTGTGAAATTACCTTTAAGGACAAAACACTAAAATTAAATATATTTTGTTATCTCCTTACACGCCTTGGTCTTCAATCCCTACTCCTCTTTTTTCCTTTATTAATTTTTCTTTTCTCTTACACATCTCTTTCAAAAGGTGAGAATCATAGTGTTTTGATCATTAAATAAAACAATGGATGAAGAAATGGTGGTGAAGAACAATTAAAAAAGTGAAATTATGAGTTTTTTTTATTTGTTTAGTAGGTTTTTGTTTCGTTTTTCTAAACTGTTCTTCGAATTTTGTTCGGTGTTTCGAAATCAAACAAAATAAAATAATCCAGCATCACATTACCGAACAAAAAATATTAGTCTGATAACCAAATGCGGTAAATACATTTTTTATATATTAAATAATATAAATAATATTTTTTATTTAAATATTTATATTTAAATAATATAAATAATATTAAAAAAAATTATCGAGCCGAGTCGAGCCGAACCGAGCCGAGCTCGAGTTTCATTAAAATTAATGAGCCAAGCCGAGCTCGAACCCATTTCCTTATCGAGCTGAGCTCTAGCTCAATAAACGAGCTCGATAAGTAAACGAGCCGAGCTCGAGCTCAGCAAAGCTCAGCTCGGCTCGGTTCGTTTGCAGCCCCAGTGAAGAACCATCAAAAAAGTAAAATGGTGAGTTTTTTTATTTATTTGGTAGGTTTTTGTTTTATTTTTCTGGGGTGGTGTTCAAATTTCGTTCGATAGTTCAAAATCGAACAAAATAAAATAGTCCAGCATCACATTGTTGAACAAAAAATATAAGTCCGGTAGCCAACTACCGAATAAAAGATACATTTCTAGTAACCCCAAACTGAATTTTTTTAATTTGTTCGACTTCTCATTACTATGTATTTTCAGTTTCATTTTTTTATATTTTTTATTTTTTTGCCTGAAAGGATTATATTTATACTCATTGCAACAATGCAACTACTGCAATATTTGTGAACTTTAGTCATGAATTCATTACAGATGAGGTTTGTTAAGTTTTTTTATGAATACTATTTTTTCTTATTTTTAATTTCTATTTAGTTTTATTAATAATTTGACATATAAATATATTTATTATCTTTAGATTTTTAGTAGTCGTGAAGCATTAATGAAATGTTCTTCTGACGTTAGGAAGAATACTGGATTTGTCATTATTATAAAGATATCAGATGTGGGAGGTAATGGCAGAAAACCATGACTTACACTTGCTTATGAAAGAAGTGGTTACTACAAAGACAATACGAAGATTAAGGGGGAACGATTGAGATTAACAGGTTCAAAAAAGTGTGGATGTCTCTTTCTATTAAAGGGGGAAAAATTACCTACAAATTACTAAGACAAATTGTGATAACATGTTTAATTGATGGATGCAAACAATTACAGATTTATGAATACATTAAGGATATTCGTACACTTGATGTCTTTATGAATCATTTTATGGATACATTTTATGTATGATTTTATGGATGTGTGTTTGATTTATGAATTTTTTTATGGATGCTTCAAGGAAAAACTAAATCTTTCAATGTACAGTGATTGGGGCCTAGATAACTCTATTGTAGTTTGGCAACATGACACTAGAGTAATTCTATTTGTATAACAATGTATCACTGAACAGGCACTTCACAAGTGGCCCAACTTAATTTCTTGTTATCATTTAATTGGACGGCAACATAATGCTGGGGAAAAAAAATATTGTTTGGTAACATGGCATTGCAGTAATTCAAATTAATTAGCATTGTATTACCGAATATACCTACCACAAATTAAGAAATCATTGTTTGGAAGAAAGTGACTTTGTAAATGTATAGTAACAAAATGTTGTAGAGATCTATTTTTTCCGGCAACATAACACCGGAATAATGTAAATTATTTAGCATCGTGTTACCAAAATTAGTGGTGTAAAGAGATGAAATAGTTAATTGAGGATTAATTTTGGTAATATATTGAGAGTGTAATGAGAATTACATTTTTTCTAGTGGTATAATGAGATGAAGGGTGTAAAGAGGTTAAATAGTGGTGTAAGTAGAATCACCCAAATATTCATTTATTAAAATAATTAGAGGTGTGCTTTGAATAATAATTTACCTTGAGACAAAATGTGATACGTAAATAGAGACACCTGAGATAAAGAAGTAAAAATTAAATTATGGATTGAAAAAAATGTACGCACAAATAATTTAGTGGGTGGAAATGGAATTTTCAGACCCATTAGATCTCTAGCATTTTTGTTTCCGTTTCTCTGCTGTATCATGATCGTCATGACGTCATTTTCTGTGTTATCGTGAAACCGGACGGACCTCTCTCTCGTGGGCCTCTTCCATCATACCGTCCAATTTAATCAAACTGCCATCAAATTCCGCCAACAGTACTGCTTAACTGACTATCTCTTTGATCAAAGGAGAAACCGGTGGGTTAGCTCAGCACCAGCACTGAGTCGACTCCGATTGAACTCGCCGGCCAAAATGCCTACGGCCTCTTTGGGGGTCACCGAAACCAACTCATTCGCTGAACGATTCCTCTACTTCGTGACGATTAGTTCGAATCCTCGCAGCAACTTATGAGGTATTTTGAATTGTGTTGTGTTTATAGCTCTTCAATGAAAATTTCTATCGATTTGGTTATGTAACATGTTTTGATGGTTTGAATATGTCTATGTTCTTACAGAAATTGTTTTCTATCAATTTGGTTATGTAACATGTTTTGATGGTTTGAATATGTCTCTGTTCTTACAGAAATTATTTCCAATTGCTAGTTGAATTTTGATGGAGATATTTGTTGCTTAGTATTATTAAATTTAACTTGCAAGAAAGATATACTTGAAGTAGGAACGGAGATTAGTCTATATGTTTCAAAACAATGAGTCTAAGAAAAATGGAATGAACTAGGGTTTAGGGTTTATATTCAGCTGAGAATTGGCACACATTCACTTCAAATGCTTTTGTGCTTTTGTTTTTGTTTTTTTGTTTTTTTTTGTTTTTGTTTTGGTATATGGAGGAAAATAGAACATAACAGAATCGGAAAGAAGCAGAGCCACTTAAAATGTCCTACAAAACATATCACTAGCAGAATCAGCTTTACCTTGGGATAAAGAATTGAATAAAGGAACTGGCTATTATCGTATTATATTTGATTAGGATGAGATAAAAAGATAACAATTATTTTTTACCGTCGGTTGAAGGAGAAAAATAACTTAGGTTTGTATTTGCTTGTTCGACATCTTCAAGTTTATGTATTTGTTCATATCAGCTTCAATTCGTATCTGATAGTTAGCCTCTTTTTCTTTCCATTGTAACTTTATCAGACAATTTTCAGTCATATTGTAACCTTTCTGGTTCCTATATATTAAGCAATTATCAGTTAATAAATATCTTCCCACAATTCTATGAGGTTGATTCCCTTAGGCTATGTTTAGTTGGGGGGTTTGAAGAGGAATTTAGAAAGGGAAAAGTCTAAATCCCTTCCTAAATCTCCCAACCAAACACAGTCTTAGTGATTTGATTTCAATTTTTTTTTTCATTCAAATCATCTTAATTGTTTCCCTAAAAATAATGAATAATATATTGAACTTGTTTTTACCCTAGTGAGTACAAATAACAAACCATATATAGGTAACTTGAATGTGACTTTAAAAAAAAAAGAAAAAAAAGTAACTTGAATGTGAACATGATCTATGCTTTTCTTGGTCTTGATTACTTAACTAGGTCATCCCATTTGCAGTACTGGCCTCCTGCTAATGCACGATAAAACCTATCCCTGCAGTAGACTGGCCTTCCATCAGCAGCTTCAGCAGCAGCTGCTGCTAGATCATCATCAGACTTCACCTCCACGGGCAATTTTAGCAGCTCGTCTTTTCTATATATTTACATAGACATAGCCATGGCAAAATCAAAGTAACATCAGTATATCTAAGCTGCAGATTAGGAAACTAAATCTATTTAAATACCTTATATTGTTTTTTTTGTTGATCTTTGAAGCTGAAACATTGGATGAGTTTGCTCCTGTTGCAAAAGTGTTCTGAATGAAATCCTCTACTGGGGTAGCAAAGATAAATAACAACACTGCTGAAACTAATAATGCCCCTGTTCCGACTAGTGTTTGTTTCAGCAATTTGATAACTGGTTTGACCTAGAGGAATAAAGAGTCATAAGCAATTTATGTTACTCTGTTTGTGTGTATATTGCAATGTATTGTTGCAAACAATTGGTATGTAAACTATTTTCTACTGAGAAATATAGTATCAGTTTATTTGTTGATCTGCAATATTACAAATTCAATGAATCTTGTTCATTTATTAGTACCTTATATGAGCCCAACAACCTGTCACGAGCCAATATCTGCAAGAAATGTAAGTTATCAATAGAAGAGTCCAAATCACATAGATTGTTCTTGTGCATATGCTAATTCTCATCCTCCTCACAGTACTCATTCTGTGTATTTATCTACCTTTACTATTCAATTGGTGAGAAATTTTAACTTCAGCTGAAAGTCACAAAATTTTGCTTGTCTAATGATTCAGTTATGGTTGGCTTATGTGTTAAGGCTAGCGTGGATGTAAAGTTTTTTGCTTTTGTCTAATGTGTTGATGGACACCAATGTCATCCACCTCTTGATGCCTTTCTTTCTTTCAATAAATCTGTATTTATATAAATAAATAAATAATGATTTCCATTATCAAACTTATGACTAACTTTTTGCTTGTTTGGCTTATAAATCTCAGTTCAATATTGGAGGCGTAAGTTAATCTGATCCTGTGCTTCTGTGGGCTGGTTGGCTACTTATTCATAGTTGAGACAAACTGATAACATGAACTGTGCCAGTGGAGGTAACATGAGAGCATATGGCGTTTTCATCTACATGCATTAATATACTAGTGTAGATACCTCATTTTTGACCGACCTTAAGACTCAGACGTCATCGATTGAGCGCTCGGTGATTGCACATGTTGTGCTCAAGTTACGGAGTCTCGGCTGAAAGCCTTGCTTCCGGACTTCGGGACTCTTTTATGGTTTGCCGCGGTTTGTGAACCAAGTTCTGTTTTCTCTTCCCGAAGGGAGGGAGAGGTCTCGTAGACCATCTCTCAGTGGTTATAGGCTACTTTTCGTGATCATAGACCACTGTTCCCGTTTGGAGACCAGTTTCCAATTTTCAGAGCCGTCGGTCGTACGCCTCGGTTTGGGACGCTTAACTTTCTCCCTTTGCTCCGGTTTTTGACACACACCTTGTTTCCTCTCTCTAGAGGGACACTATGGCCCGGGAGACCACCTTTGTGGTCGAACGCCACTTTCGATGCTTAACAGCCTATTTTCGGGACACCCGGCTACGCGTTTTGACCCCTAAACCCTCGTTTTGCATCCGTCTTGGTTCATTTTTGGCATGGACCCTATTTTCATTGTTTGGAAGGTGGTACAAAGGTGGGAGACCACCTTTTCTCCTTAGAGACCATTTTTCTATCACCAGCCAATTTTTTTGACAGGTAACTGGTCTCCCTCATTTTTGGACCACAATTGTTGGTCTCCCACCACACCACTAGCTTGCATTTAGTTGGGAGACCACTAAATAGGGCTGCCGACCACTTTTTGTTGAGTTGACCCTTTTGAACTGGCTGGCCGACCACCTGAACTAGTCGGCCTACTCCATCTAGTTCTGTCTTAGTGAGTTGATTCCAGCTGTGCCAGCTGGGAGGCACAGGCTGCATCCTCCACATACGTGTATGGAGGATCTTTGGCCTTAGTTTGTAGCTTCTTTGAGAAGCTTTGGCCTTATATCTGTATAAGAGAGGCCCTCCTCTTCCTTGCAAAAGGTTCTGAAATTCTCTAAGGCATATACATCTATCTCCCTCTATATCTCTCCCTTTAGGCTTAGAAAGTGCGAAGTTTTTGGCCCTTTGCAAATCATCTCCTAGCCTAACCCCTCTAACACCAACCTAAGCTTCTTGGAGGCCTTTTTTAGAGGTTAAGGAGCTACATTTTTGGTCCAGAAGCTGCTGGAGTTGCTGAGCTACAAGGGTAACACACTTTCTTCCTTTTGGTCTTTATTTTGCTTCATCTTTTAGCTATACTTGCAAGCATATTTGGGCTTTGTCATAAACTGAAAAAAGTCTTATTTTGAGGTCCTTAACATGTTTTTTTGAGACCATTTTTCTATTGGGGGTCATCTACCCCCTTTGCGTGCTTCATTTCATCTTATTTTGAGCCATGCTTTAGGGCCTTTGCATTGACCTTTGTTTGGTGTATTAGCAAATGAAATCTAGTGGATTTTTAGCGGCTAGCATGCTATTTTGAGCACCAAAATCAGAGAGGGGTGACCCTCTCACCCCTTGTCTTGTTTACTAGCATATTTGGCCTAACAAAGGAGTCTTTATTTGCATGCTTCCAAGCCATATTTTAGGCCATTTTTGGTGGGTTTTAGGACCTTCATAGGCTCTTTACAAAGCCCATTTTGCCATTCTGGGAGTCCATCTTGCATGTGTAGAACAACCCTCTTTATAGCCTATCAAAGGAGCCTATCATTCTTGCATGCATAGACCATGTTTCAGTGATTTTTTGGGCTTTATTTGGCATGTCATACCTCTGGCTTTTGCTGGTTTGGTGACCTCTTGATTGCCTCACATGCTTGTAGTGCAAATCCTCTTTACTAGTTTACATTGCATGCTATTTTGGCCTTTGATTCTAGCACTTTTTGGCCATGCTTTAAACTGATTGTGTGCATGTTTTGGACCGCCTTAGCTCTATTTTTATGCCTCATGGTTGAATGATGCTTCCTATGCATGGTTGTAGTTCAATACCCTTGCCTAGCTTTAAGTTTTGGAGCCTATTGCATGCTTATGTTAAGGTGTTTCCATGTTTTGGGACCATTGTGCATCATATTTCAGAGCTTACATGTATGCCATATTCCTATGTTTTCCACTCTTTAAATGCGTTTGAGAGTCGTGCTTGTATGCCTCGTTTTTGGACCATTGCATGAGCTTCATTTCCGTACCTTTCGAGCCATTATTTTAGTCCACTTTTCCCACTGTCTTGGACCTGCCTAGGGTCTGTTTGGGGCTGGTTTTGCCATTTGTGCATTGTTTTGTGTACCTCTAGTGTAATGCGCTTCATTAGTTTCGGTATTCGGGCCATCTAGCATGCATTGTGTGAGGTGTTTGCATGATTCGGGACCATTTTGCATGTCGTTTCAGAGCTGAAAAATGTATGATTGTATGCCATATTTCATTGCTTGCCATGCTTTGGTAGAGTGGCATTTGATGCCTTAAGTTCAGTCCCTTGCATTGGACATGTTTGCATGAGTGTTCCTGCCTTTAATTTCATCATGTTTGGCCACTAATTTGAGTGTGGCTAAGGCCCATTCATTTTAGTTTAAGTCCATCTTGCATTGTGTATGCCATTTAGTCCATGTTGTTGCATGATTGACCATTGCATTGTGTATGCCTTGATCATTTCATTGTTAGTCTCCATGTGTGCATTGCGTATGCCATATAGTTTTCATGTGCATTGAGTATGCCATTGATTACTTCATAGCATTGTGTATGCTAGTAGCATGTTTGCATATCATCATTTGCATGTTTGCATCATTTAGTGGCATTAGGTTTAGGTTGCATGTTAGAGTTGCATTCTTGCATGCCATGTGTATTGCATTGTGTTTGGAGTAGGGTTTAGTCCAGACACGGGAAACGAGGAACGTTTCGTACTCCAAGTGACGAAACGTGTCTCGATTCTCAGTCACCGACACTTCGGAATACCCATGATGGAGTTTAGGCCTTATTGTGTTCATTTGTGTATCTATTTGACATTGAGTCATGCAATCCGACTCCTCGGTCATCATGTATCGAGATGCGTGATTGGTGGCACGAGGATCGAGGACTACACTCCCTAGAGCTCATGCAATGATGGGGAGAGTGGTCGTGCACACATATGTTGAAAACACTTTGCCATGCCCTTTTCTTGCTCTCTGTTGCAGCAAGCCGGAAGCCAACAGCAAAAACTGGTCGGTAGTATCCCTACAGCATGGTAGAGTTTCAGCCTTCTAGAGTTTCAACCTTCTGGAGTTTTGTACAGTGTTTTGGGACCAGTTGCAAACAGAGGCAAATTGGGGCATCGCGATGGATTTTTCGGCAAGGCAACTCGAGCATGCATGCATTCCTTGTCATTCAAGACTGAGCTGAGGCAGTCCATTTCATATGTTTTGCATGCTAGCTTATTTATTTTAGTTAATTTGTTAATTAATTAGGGTTGTGTAATAATTAGCTGCAATTCGTTATTCATTCGGTTGTGTATTATTTATTCGGACCCTCCGAGGAGGGCAATGTTGTAATAAGTGTGCGTGTGTGTGATGTATTTTTTTCAACCCCACGTCTTTCTTCCTTTTATTTACCAGCTTATGATGGTTAGTTTTGGGGCACGTTTAAATTAGCATCCTTATGCTCGTATGTTTGCATCCATTCATCTGTCTCGCATGCACCAGGCTCGGCGCATCATACTAACTGCATTGTATTTCAATTCCAAGTTGAATACGTGTATCAGTTGTTGCATTTCATATGCCATTTTAGAATAGCCGAGCCTATCTTAGTTGCATTTTTGCATGTGTTGCATTAGGCATTCTTAGCATAGTTAGGATTCATGCATATTTTCTAATTAGTTTCTTTCTTTGGCTTGGAGTACTCAGTAAATGTTCATGCTTTAGCATCCTTGCATGTGTATGAGTGACTGCCATGATAGCATGCTTACCATGAGGCTATGTGCTTATATGATATAACTACCTGAATGCCAGTGGGTGAAGGTTGGGTTGCTTGAGTTGGAATAATTCGTTGAAACCCGTGTTTTAGCCTACTTGCGAGTAGCAAACTTCAATCCATTTTCAAAACAATCGGATATGCGATACTTTGTTCCAACTTAGGCAATCTAGTCTATACTTGTATGTTGCGTGCATCACATAGTAATTCTAGGCTAATAACCGAAATAAGAGCACATAATGTTTTCAAAACTCAATATCATGGTTAGTAGAGGCCGATCTTTGATCGGGCGAGCAGGGGTGCTCACGAAGTGACCTTCCCCAATCGTACCCAAGTTCCCGAGCCGAGGCAACTTTGGTGATGATGGACACGTGGCCTTAGGCACGAGTCAGGGTTTCCTAAATTTCACCAAAACAAAATATTTAGGTGGCGACTCTGTATCTGGCAAAGCAGTCCATGTTTGACACTTCTTTCTAAAAATCAATTTTTCAAAATGATTTGCCGGATTTGGACTCTTTGATGATTCATCGGTCTTGCATTGCACTCTGCGAGATTAGATACAGGACCGTGACATTGAGTCTGAACTGTAGTGAGCCCAATAGACAA